CTCCTTCCCCCTCCCTGTGTTTTTCTCTCTCCTTCCCTCTCTCTCTCCATCTATTTCCCTCTATCTTTTTATCTATTTCTTTCTCTCCCTCTTGCTATATGCTGTATATCTCCAGCTCTGCCACTTTTCTCTCTCTCTCCTTTCTCAATCTCTTTGCCTAGATCCCTCTCACTCGCTCTCTCTCTTTTCACTCTCTCCTTCCATCTTTCTCTGCCTCTCTCTTTCTGCCTGTCGCCCCCTCTCTCTCTCCATCTGTCTTTCTCTCTCAATGTGTTAGTTCGGTGTCTCTCTCTCTCTAACTCTCTGTCTTTCTCCCCTTTCCTTTCCCCCCTCTCCCTCTCTCCCCCACGCCCCTCTCTTTTTCTCTCTGACACAAATGACCTTTTCTCATCAGTCCGTCCTGATTACATCGTGACGCAGGCTCCGCCCACAAACGCCGCCACTGTTATTACGAGGAGACGTCAGTTAACCGAGCGGACGGGTGACATTTTCAGACTTCATTTCACCTCCGACTCTTTGTTATCATGTTATTGGGTCAATTAGAGATATTCAAGATGTTGGATGCACAAATCTATGTAAAGCATTGTGAAAAATTAAAACCGTTGCCGTGGCAATTGACAATTTAAACCAAAATATGAAATAATTTAATATAATCCTTCATACGTCCATGTACAATTTATATTTTTTGAATTGTGAGAAGTTCTCCAAATGGCAAAAAAAACGTTGTAACGTTGTACCTTTATATGATTTCTTGGTAACACTTTATAATAGGGTTAGGGTTACACCTTATTTAGCCTTAATAAAGCATGAACAAAGACTTAATTAATAATGATTCACGCTTAGTAACTACTTAATTACTAACTGAATTAGTACTTAAGTTGCACTTAATTCACCTGTGCTGTAAATAGTTACTCAGTTCTTCTTAATTACTCATGAAATAACCATTTGCATGTTGACAAATGCATATTTAAGTTCACATTTGAACATTTATTAATGATTAATAAGCTATGAGAGAATGATTTACTAATAATGCAATGCAATGATCATTCAGGCAGCTGTTATCTGTTAGTTAAATCTTTCTGAGAGCTTTTCTAAAGTGAAGACTAATTATACTTTATTAAACATTTGTTAAGGTTGGTCAAATTCCAAGAAACAATAATGATTACTAGTAAATCATTCTCTCATGGCTTAAATAATCATTAATAAATGCTCAATTGACTTAAGCACACACAAATGGTTAGTTCATGAGTCATTAAGTAAGAAATACTTATGAGTTACTATTTACAGCACAGGTGAATTAAGTGCACCTTAAGTGCTCATTCAGGTAGTAATTAAGTACTTACTAAGCGTGAATCATTATTAATTAAGGATGCTTATTAAGGCTAAATAAGATTACTGTTACATTTCTCTTGTCATTAAAGAAGCCCTACGTAATTTTTCCAGTAGAGGGTCCACCACCTCCGTGTCGCCATGGAGATGTATTTTTCTTTGCTTTGAATGTTCCCGCATAAATACGAACATTTCAAATTGAATACATGAAAGATAAATCAGTTTAATGCCATAAAAGACAATTGTACCCCTATCACTGTGAAAAGTGAACTCGTCCCATGTTCGGCTATCTCCAGGTGCTCAATGTGCTCCATGTTCTGTTCTAATTGGCGAGTCTGAACATAGCCTAAAGGACACGACTCAGTGGATTATATGTGTTCTTTCTGTGACAGAGGGGTGTTCTGCTGATGGTGAGTCTGTTCTGTGCTATCGGGTTGGAGATGGTTCATGTTAAACTTTTCAGAGATTATACATCTGCAGGTCATACACATAGACTGTATATATGAATAGACATATTCTAGCCTCCTAGCGTTTTGGCGGTGAATTACTTTGTGCTGCATAGACCTACGTCAGTGTATCATCGTTTTCAGGCCTTTACATGGTGCCGGATCAGAATTTGTGGGAGCTGGTGGCACCAGATTGTTCCGTCTCTGGAGCCATTTTCCATCAGATTAGCGTGGACGAACACTGCATCCGCAAAGAAAACGACTGGAATACGTAGTGTGGACGGGGCCTTGAACATTTGCTCTCGTATGAAGGCGAGAGTGTGATTTGTCCACGTTTGGTAGTGGTTCTGTGGAGTGGGGGGACGCAAAATATTTTCCTCTTCCTAGGGGATGACAGAAAATAATTGAGAAGCACTGCTTTAACACTACACTGAAAAAGGGAAAAAAAACACACAAAAACATACCAGATAACAGAAATAAGGAGTATTTAAAATGTACTGTGTAATCTTTTTGGTTTGGGTCCGTCACCTGCTTGTTTCTATGACATTAAACAGCTCTACATTACATTTATTCAATTACAGGTGTTTTTATAGCTCAAGAAAACCTAAACATGCATCCGTGAAGATAAATAGTTTTAATGCCATACTGTGAAACATTCCAGACAAAGCAATAACATCTCCATGGAGAAAAGCGTCTGACGAACCCTCCACCAGAAAAGTTACATAAGTATTCCTAATCTACCGTCCTGTCATTATTATAGCTGGAGTTAAATTATACTGTCAGACTTGCCTTTTCAAACTCCTCTCTCCTTGTAATATTCAAGAACATGCTTTAATGGATTTTAATTAAGTGCTGTGCCATATTTTAATTGCTCTATTGTAAAGAGTCCTTGGGCGTTTGTCTGTGGAAAAATGCAATAATGTACACCGCGGAATCATCGAGACACAAACATACTGTATAATTTTACATACAATCTCCACTGTGTACTGTCTGTGTTAAATTATGAAGTGTTTTTTTTAAGTGTTTAAGTGTTTGTTTGGGTTTGTTTGTTTAGTTTTTTTGTTTTGCTTTGACTGCATGTTCCGCAGTATGGCACAGTATGCTGTAAAATTCAGCAACAACTGAAAAAAATCTAAAAACATTGTCTTCAAAGTCTTCTCAAGTCACAGAGCTGAAGTCCAAGTCGAGTCCCAGTTCACTGATCTTCAAGTCCAAGTCGAGTGCCAAGTCTTAGTCCATTTTATCAAGTCAAGTCTCAAGTCTTAAAAATAGTGACACAAGTCTGACTCAAGTTCAAGTCATGATTTTTAAATCCACACCTCTGACAAATAGTGCGATAATTTGTTCTCCATTTCAGTGTAAAGAAGCTAACATCACATGAACACAAACAAAACCAGAACTTTGACATTAATAAAAGAAAAACAAAAACAAGCTAAACAGCTAAACATATCTCAAATATTTAAGAGCTGAATTTATTAAATCACAGTTGTTTGTGTATGTCATACTCAAATAAACCTTGAAAAATACATTCTTAACATGAGCAGGATCTCCTTTCCATAGATCTCCCTGTAACCTGCACTCTAGAGCACCTATAGAGGCTTTGCACCGTCACGTGACCCCTATAGCAACGGTACCTACGCCGCCATGACACCGGGCACACTCTGTCATTGACTTCAGCAGCATCGGAGAAACATGGGCAGGTTTTGTTGTGTATTTGGTTGTTTTAGACGCTCTTAATGGGATGAAATGAATCATTTCTTCACTGTTCCTCTGGAAATTACTCATCAGGAGCTCAAACAAGGGAATTATCAAAAAAAAGATGCGGATTATGGCTAGCAAAAATAAACCACAAAGAGATTTCCTATTGTACCATCAAGACACCCGAAGTTTCATCAAGGTATTTGCTATTTAAATAGTTTCAGAGCTTATTTAATGAAAGAAGCACATTTACTGAACTAAAATTTCATTAATTTATCCAGGAAAACCCGCACTAGTTTACGATTCTACGAACCCAACAACGAACCCATTCAACATGGCGCACGAGTCGAAGAGTCTCTGAGCCGAACCTCGAAAGAATCGGCCATGAAAAGATCCTCGCGAACGTTAGAAAGATCCACTCGCAAAAAGCGATTAATTCTAGAAGACATAGTTGTGGATCAGCAAGGCAATGAAGAAAACATGGGTCCTACGATGAGTGACATGTTTATATGTGCGCTGGAAGATACAGTTTCTACTGCCACTCACACTGCAAATATATTTTTATTTTTTTTAGTTCAGTAAATGTGCTTCTCTCATTAAATAAGCTATGAAACCATTTAAATAGCAAATACCTTGATGAAAGTGACGTGAGGGGACCATAGGAAATCTCTTTGCGGTTTATGTTCTCTAGCCATAATTCCCTTTTTTTTTTTCTGATAATTCCCTTGTTTGAGCTCCTGATGAGTAATTTCCAGAGGAACAGTGAAGAAACGAATCGTTTTATCCCGTTAAGAGCATCAAGAAGAACCAAATACACAACAAAACCTGCCCATGTTTCTCCGATGCTGCTGAAGTCAATGACAGAGTGTTGCCCGGTGTCATGGCGTCGGTACCGTTGCTATAGGGGTCATGTGACGGTGCAAAGCCTCTATAAGTGACAATATGTAACTTTTTAGCCAAAAATAGACAGTCTTGGTTCATTTTGGTTCATTTTAATTGAAAAAAACTGAAAATGAACTGTCCTGGCTGTATGTGGCTTGCATTCCCACACACCAAACTCATATTTGGTCTGGAGAATAGTTGTTGTGTTGACAGATATGTAAATGTGATTACTATAGTGGTTAGTGTAATATTACTGAGATGTACGCCTCACCTGTAGAGGGCGACGTAACAGATAAGAAAGTTAATACCAGTGTAATGTAGCCATGTGGAAAAACGGATTGCTGCATTAAACGTTATTGAAGATTCATCTAGCCTTCGTTTTCTTCTACACCACCAACATAACAAATTGGCGACGAGGATGAGCGCGTCAGTACCGTGCCCACCGTTGTTTCTTCCACATGTTGGTGAGCCGCCTATTCCTTTTGCTACTTGGCGGAAAATGTTTGCTAACTACATGCTGGTTATAAACGCTACTGGAGATGCATGGCCAGACGCCAGAAAACGAGCTGTATTACTGCACTTCCTTGGCCCAGAAGGACAACGTCTTTTCTACACTTTACCGGACCAAGGTAAATGGCAACAGCGATGGCTGCGCTCGAAAAGCATTTCGTCCCGAAAGTCAATGTCGTAGCCTGCAGACACACATTCCGACAACGTGTTCAGCGTTCGGACGAGACGGCTACTCAGTACGTGGCTGCGCTAAGAGACTTGGCTGCATCATGTGAGTTTGGAGTGATGGAGGGTGAGATGATACGAGATCAGCTCATTTCAAATACACATCTCAGTGCTGTGCGAGATAAACTCCTCCTTGGACAAAGCGGTAACTATTGCTACACAAGTTGAGGCTGCGGTGAAAAACGCTACGCTGCTAACAGCTAACAGACAAGCACCCACGGCGCCAGTACAGGCAATCGGTGCATCCCGCTCAACTTTTCGAGGGAAAAGAGATTCATGTCCCACCAAATCCAGTGCTCATGACCGTAACAAGCAAGCTACAACGGCTAACAAGCAACAACGCAAATGCTTTAGATGTGGATCAAACAAACATATTGCCACTGACAGAAACTGTCCAGCTGCTTCAGTACAGTGTAATAACTGTGGGAAAAGAGGACATTTTGCCAAGGTATGCAGATCAGGTGCTAAATCTGTAAACCAAATACAAGAAATTGTCGTGCCTGAGTTAGCCATTCTTTGTGTTGATAATGTTAAGTTGGCAGCTGCAGCATTTGATAAGCTCACGTGCGCAGTCAATATTGAGGCACCAAAAGGGAACGAGCATCCAGTTGAACTAATAGTGGACACTGGAGTTTCTGTTTCCATCTTACCGGAGACACTGTACAAGAAACATTTTGCTAACTGCACACTCCAAGAGCCTCAAATCAAGCTAGTCACTTATTCCAAGGGTCACTTACCTGTCCTGGGCTGTCTCCATGCAGAAATTACGACTAAACGAGAAAAGACTGTGCCAGCAACTTTCTATATTGTGAAAGCTGGATCCCCCTTGCTGGGTTTGGACCTGATTAAAACCCTGGGGTCAACATCATTGATGGCAAAGTACTCCTTGACGTGGACAATGCAAACACACCATCTGCTGGTGAGCTTGGCACAGTGCACAACATTGACTATACTCTAACTCAAACACTTGGATGTGTCAAAGGATTCATTCACAAAGTGCAAGTCAACAACAAAATCAAACCAGTACGCCAGAAACTACGACGTCTACCGCTCAGCATACGTAAGGAAGTGTCAGCTGAACTGACTCGACTACTGCAAGCAGGCATCATTGAAAGAGTGGATGCTTCGGAGTGGGTGAGTCCTCTGGTTGTGGGAAGGAAACGCAGAGGGGGGCTACGCTTATGTGTTGACCTGCGTGAACCAAATAAAAGTGTCGTAATGGACTGTTACCCACTTCCTCATATGGAGGACCTCTTTGCAGAACTGTCTGGTGCCACTCACTACAGCCAGATCGACTTAAGCTCAGCATACCACCAGTTACCTCTGCACCCGGAAAGTCGCAAACTAACTGCTTTCATAACTCACGACGGCTTGTTCCAGTTCACACGTGTTCCATTTGGTCTTGCATCTGCACCATCTGCTTTCCAAAAGATGATGGAGACCATATTAAAGGACTTGCCAGGTGTACAGAACTACTTGGATGACATTGTTGTCTATGGAGCCTCAAAAGAAGAGCATGACCGTCATCTACAAGCAGTCCTCAAGCGCCTAAGTGAAGCTGGACTGCAGATCAACTTCGGGAAAAGTGCATTTGCCCAAACAGACATTACTTTCCTTGGCCATGTCATTTCCAAAGACGGCTTACGCCCTAGTTTGGATCATCTCACTGCTATCGCAGAAGCACCTCCACCGAAGGACATGCCAGCACTACGCTCCTTCCTGGGACTGACTTCATGGTTCAGCAAGTTTATTCCTAACTATGCTACACTAGTTGAACCCCTGCGCCAAAGACTCAAAACTAGTCCACAAGCTGAGTTGCACTGGGACAGGGAGGCAAATGAAAGCTTTATAAAACTGAAACAAATGCTCCTTGATAGTCCACCACTAGCCATTTATAACCCTAAACTGCCAACAGTAATCACAACAGATGCTTCTGACTATGGCTTGGGGGCTGTTCTTTCCCAGTTCCATTCAGACAATACAGAATGCATAGTGGCGTTTGCATCACGTACACTGACGCCCGCCGAAAGAAGATACTCCACTACAGAAAAGGAAGCCCTTGCCTGTGTGTGGGCTGTCGAGAGATGGAGAACATATGTCTGGGGGCGCAGATTCACACTTCGAACAGACCATCAGGCCCTGACTACACTTCTCAACACAAAAGGTATGAACAGAGCAGGGATGAGGATTGCAAGATGGTCAGCTAGGCTAATGTGCTTTCAGTATGACATTGAGTACCGACCAGGGAACCAAAATGTGCTGGCCGACTGTCTCTCACGTGTCCCTCTGGAGTCAACTTCACTGACTGAATCTGAACCAGACTTATATGTAGAAATAGCTGAAATCTCTTCATTGTTCTCTGCACTGCCTCTCTCTGACTTTAAAGCTGAATCTGAGGACTGTCCTGAACTTAAACTACTCAGGCAGGTCAGTCAGTCCAAGTGGCCTAAAACTAAAAAGTCTCTCCCCATTGAAATACAGCCATACTTTCTAGTGAGACACGAACTTGCAGTTGACTCCCCACTGGTATTTCGGGGCACACGTCTGGTTGTCCCTAAGTCACTCAGAGAGCGCATTGTGCACCTTGCACACGAGGGTCACCAAGGCATTGTGCGCACCAAGCAACGCCTCAGAGAACTTTACTGGTTTCCAAATATGGACTCTTTAGTTTACACTGTCCTCTCCTCATGCACAGTGTGTCAGTCATGTGATAAAACTGCCAAAGCATCACCTGCCCCTTTGCAGCCAGTAGAGTTCCCCGAAGGCCCCTTTCAACATGTGGCTGTGGACATTGTTGGTCCTTTTGAACGTGGGCCACAGGACTGCAGATTTGCTATCACTCTAGTAGACTACTTTAGCAAATGGCCAGAAGTAGCCTTCACCCCAAATGCAACTACAGCTACTGTCCTTACTTTTCTGTCAGCTGTTTTCTCTCGTGAAGGTAACCCCTGTGCTATAACAACTGATAATGGTCCACAGTTCACTTCTTGTGCTTTTGCAGACTTCCTGAAAGAAAGAGGAATTAAGCACATCAAAACAAGTGTGTACCACCCTCAAGCAAATGGGTGTGTCGAACGATTCAACAGAGTGCTCAAAGACTGTATCCAAGGAGCCCAGGCAGTTCATAAGCCATGGAAACCAACAGTGACTGCTATGCTCCAAAACTACAGGGCTACACCCCATGCTACAACCAATGAGTCTCCTTTCAAGCTCTTGCGAGGGAGACCTATGAGAACAAAACTCCACATACTGCCATATCATGACTGCACAGGACAGTATGGCCAAGTGAGATCCAGAGTGGCTCTGCAACAAGAGAAAAGTAAGCGTTACACTGACAAAAAAAGAGGTGCCAGAACTCCCACATTTGCAGTTGGAGACAAGGTGCGTATCTGCAAGCCTTTTCTTGTTGGGAAAGGAGAGAGACAGTACACTGACCCTGTGTCCATTCAACAACAAACTGGACACAGCACCTTCATCTTGAGTGACGGGAAAAGGTGGAATGCAACTCGCCTTTCTCTCTCTGCCCAGAGAGAGAGCAGTGGAACCTCATCAAGCTGGTACTGCTGGACAAGATACCAGCCAGACCGAGACTGGACCAAATCGTGCTGCTCCACAAAGAGAGCACAAACCACCCACATGGACTAAGGACTATGTAATGAAATAGCATAAAAGTCAAAGTAGCCAATAAAGCAAAACAGTTCTGATAATAGGTACTTTTGGTTAAAATGATAGGTACGTTTGGTTCAAATGGTTACTACATAAATTTGAGATTTACCACCAACTGCTGATTTTAAGTTAAAGTATTGTATGTATTTTATTTTGATAGGAATGCAACGCAGCTACAGAAAAGAAACAACTTCAGATTACTTTTATTTTTAAATCACTCTTTACTTGTTCTACAGTTCTAAAATCTTTATGAGTAATGGGGGAGATGTTGTGTTGACAGATATGTAAATGTGATTACTATAGTGGTTAGTGTAATATTACTGAGATGTACGCCTCACCTGTAGAGGGCGACGTAACAGATAAGAAAGTTAATACCAGTGTAATGTAGCCATGTGGAAAAACAGATTGCTGCATTAAACGGTATTGAAGATTCATCTAGCCTTCGTTTTCTTCTACACCACCAACATAACAATAGTGAATGTTCCAAAGTACTTTTATGGTTTAATTTTCCATGGACTTGAGCAGGTGACATATCAACTCCAGAAAGTGTCTTAAACTGTACCTTTTATTTTTGTGCTCTAAATGAGGCCACTGCTTATACCACAGTAAACTACACTATTAAATATAATTAAAGTAGTAACATGTTCATTTAATGCAGTGGTTCAGTCTGGTTCCTGTTGTTCCTACTTTTCTCACTGAACATGTGGTGAGTTTGGGCGTGTGCAGATTTTTCACAGATCTGAATTTTGTTGCACCTGTCGCAATAGCACACACACACACACACACACACACGCAGGCATCTGGTGTATCTGCAGATAACTGGGCAACCATACAAATCATGACGCAGCTCCATTTGGGTTCAGTATTTATTTAAAAATACTAGCTGAATGTTGGAACCAGTAGGTACCAATATTTATCAAACCACAAACAACCTGTTCAGTTCTGAAATACTGCTGAGTTTAAGTGTGTAAACTGAACAGATTAAGTAGTCATCTCTAAACCTGGAAAGATCTTTTTTTTTTTTTTTTTTAGATGAATGAATTTGGAGGGTTTCCTATCCTTATTTATCTCCAAAGAGAAAGTATGCTCTTCACATTCTATTTCCACGGAATTATGCAGGTGACGTTCCACCCCCGAAAGTTACATACTTTACTTTTAATTATGCAACTTCAAAATAAAATATTATGTAAATACACTTTAGTGGAAATACTGACCAGAACAAACCAGATCTACATTAGGACCATTACTAAACCAGGACTAGACCATTACTAAACCAGGACTAGATCAGGAATGAACCAGGACTAGACCATTACTAAACCAGGACTAGATCAGGACTGAACCAGGACTAGACCATTACTAAGCCAGTATTAAACCAAGACTAGCCCAGGACCAAACCAAATCTACTCCAGGACTAACCTGTGCTCGGACAGGACACAGAGAGCAGAGTCCGTGTCACCTCTCGCTGCTTCCTGAGTGTCTGTAGCAGTTTGAATGTTCTCTTGCATTTGTATTATTCTCACAGATTAGGCCTCGCTCTGTAGATTCTCTGGACTTATTTATGGCTCAGTATTGATGGACTGAGGAATGCAGCGAAGGGTGAAATTTTAATTGTGTTCTGAGCTCAGAGCTGGGCCCCGCGGGTGAGAGGTGGACAGGTACACCGCAAATGAAACATCACCAACCAAAATCACTTTATTATATTGTATTTTAGTATTTTTAAAGAGCACATGTAAAGCTATTTTCTGATCTACTGTATGTTATAATGTTGTTTCCTCATTACAAACAGACCTGGAGTTGTGTCTTGGTTCATTCACACATGTTAAACACACAAACCCTGCATATTTAGTGCTCCACTTTGTTTTTAAACTCCATACACCTTCACTAGAATCATTTGGATCATTTCAACCCTGGAATGGCCAATCTCTTCTAAACAAAAGATTAAAGGGAAGCTGTTAACTTGAAAACTACAATTTCATGACATCACAAGGTGGAACAGAGCATTTTGAGCTTTGGAGATGTAGACAGACTAAACCAGGATTACTCAAACATGTTGGAATGAAACAAAACACATCTCAGAGTGTGTTTTTGAGGAGGTAACAATATTGTAAACTGGCTTAAAGAACACATATTGTGCTACCGTAAATTCTGGACTATAAGCCACTACTTTTTTCTCACACTTTGAATCCTGCGGCTAATAAAACAATGTGGCGAATATATGGACGGATTCTTGGCACATTGTCCGACACATTGTCCATTCATATATACCGTCTATGTTTTGGCAACACAGCGGATAAGCGAAGCCTGAGTGCAGAAAATGCCGCTGTCTGTGCTACAGTACCTAGTGATATTGTCAGCGCACTCAAAAATGTATCGCCGTGTGATAAAATAAGTTATGATGCTAAGTGAACATTAGTGAGGGGGCTGCGTCTTACCCGTATGCGTAAATGACGAGAAAAAAAACGTCTCAAACTGATACCTGATTGACAGAACTGTCCCCGCCCCGAGAGAGTCTGAAACCTGCTGAAATCCTCCAAGACACTGACACGATACAGACAGGACAGAGGCTCTTTCTGCAGGAGACATGGGCAGGAGAGAGCGGGGAGAGATGGGGGTGATGAGCTGAGGAAGTTTTGAACAGTTATTTTGCTCTTCATACACACAACCTCTTCATGGAAAACACACAAAGTAATGCAGATGATGCAACTTTTAAGTTAGCGGCGATTGATGTGGCTGTGAAAGAAGGAAACAGAGCTGCTGCATCAGTGAGTCGATGGTGAGATTTTGGCAATGGCAGCGTGACAAACTGACTTAATGCAAAAAGACGTCAGAAGCTTTCAAAATTTCGTTAATGTGGCTAACATTCAGGTGCGCTCAATAGGCCAGAAAATACGGTAAATGAACTTTTTCAGCTTTTTGATAGTGTTTCCTGGGTATATAAGGTCTGTACTGACTCAAAAAAGCTAAATTTGAACCATACAGTACTTGCAAAGATATCTTTCAATTCCAGTCTAGATATGTGATGTTCATTTTCTTCTGTTACATTTTCTCTATCTGTTACATCACTGAATTTCAGAAGAAATCTCCTTCAAAGGTGATACAAGTTCAATAACTTCCATCTAATTGCTCTCCGAGTCCACCATCTTATTTTTGGTTTGTAGTTCAAGCTCGAAGAAAAGAAGAAAATGCGCATTGATAAGACTACGTGTTCTGTTGCTGGTTATATTAACCAACACGTATTGTTACACTGATCTCCAGCCACAGAACCACTGAGAACTACTTGGATTACTTTTATTGTTAGGGGAAATGTGCCTACGAACGTGCCCAAGATGTTTTTTTGTATGCGCTAACCACTTCACAAAAAAATGCTTCACAAACCTGTGCCAGTAAAGCAGTTATTCATGTTTTGGTATTTTATAAAAGCATAATATTTGTTCTTTAAAGCACACAAGAGTTAATGTTGCGTAAAGGCCAATTTACAGTCCAGTGTCAAATCGTCTGCGTCACGACACAGAGCCTCTGCGTCGACCGACATGCACCTCCGAAATTTTCTAACTACGCGTCAAAACGCCGTAGACAGCAGGGGACGCAACGCAGACGATAAGAGCTGTGATTGGTCCTCCGTACCACCGCTCTGTACACATTTCCTGTTGGCTTTTCTTTATTTCTATATATATTGAGAAATAATGTGTTTAATGCAGCTTTGCGCATATGTGTTTACGTTTTACAGAAACAAAACTTAAAACCGCATGGCTAACTTATATAAACAAAGTGCTCATAAAACAGCTCGCTCCTGGTACGTGGTCGGCTTCTCTCGGACTTAAAAAGGACATGACTCAGTGGAACATGAGTGTTCTTTCTGTGACAGAGGGATATTGTACTAATGGTGAGTCTGTTCTGTGCTTTTATCGCGTTGGAGATGGTTCATGTTAAACTTTTCAGAGATTATACGTCTGCGGGTCATACACACAGACCGTATATATGAATGGACAGATATCGTCACCCCCTAGCGTTTTGGCAGTGAATTACTTAGACCTCCACTCAGATCCATAAATCAGAAACGTCGGCGACAAGGCACCTGCGGCAGTGCGCGTTGAGTCGACGCAGAACTATACTTCAGCCTTAATACAGGACCTTTAAAATGGGGCCTGCACTGGCTTGTCCACAGTGTAGCATTATTTTGTTGCTGTATTTGTTGCTGAAAAATGCTGTGGGAAAAACAGGCATTCTTACTTTGAGTGAGCTCGCCTCTCCACAGATCTTACTTGACCCTTTAAATGGTTTGCAATGGTCCAACGTTACACTTAGTTACACTTCAAGCATCCAAATTATTCACCGTAATTTAGAGTTTAAAAGAGCTATTCACAATTTTCAGAGACCAGAATGGAGTTTTGCCTTCATGGTAATGCAAACAACAACCAGCATTCCAACAATGCACTTCCTGTTTCACTGATGATGGAAAGAGCTGCTTTATATTTTAATATATCTGTACTGGGGAAAGACAGATATGACTTTTTTTTTTTTTTGACTTTTTTAGAAAATCAGGAACTCTTCTAAAGTTATTGCTTTGTCTGAAATGTTTCACAGTATGACATTAAACGTTTTTACCAAGTTACAGGTCAGATCTGCGGAGAGGAGGACCCCACTCACAATCAGAATGTTTGTTTTTCTAGGTTTTTTTGAGCTATAAAACCACCTGTAATTGAATAAATAGAAAGTAGAGCTGTTTAATGTCATACTGCGGAATATTCCAGGCAGAGCAATGACGTATCCATAGAAACAAGCAGGCGACGACCAAAAACACAGCGCACCTTTAAATAGACAAATATAAGTTATTCAAATCGATCAAATCAAAAGCAGTGAAATAAAGATTGGAGTTTGAGGTCACCTTGACTCGGAGTCTAATGATTATTGCAGAGAAGATCCTGAGCTGGAGATGTGCGGTATTGATCAGAACCGAGGAGCAGAGGGGGAAACATCAG